TTTAAAAAGAAATGAAGAATAAAATAAAATACTAACATTCAATGTGATCTAAATGTCCTGGGCATTCAATATAAGAACCAGTACAAGTAAGACATTTTGAATTTTGATCAGATGGACCCTGCCGTGGATCTATAAGACCTTGGATTTTTCCTTTTCCTTCTTCACATAAATCTGAATATTCAATTGGTGGATTTGTCACTGACATTTGTCGAATTTCATCTGGAGATAAAATTCTGAATTGTATACGGCTCACCTTACCACGTGGCGCCATTGAATCAACTATTTGTGAACTTAAGTAAACCATTTCATTTCTTTGACTTCTATTCTACAAATGACACAGTTACATTAATAAATATACATTATTTATATCACAGCAATCTTAGTTCTACGATAGAATATTACCAATGATATATGAACTCAATGATAGATGAAAATAGATGGAATTTTAACCTATAGTTTCGCTTCCATGTTGAAATATTATAAATGAAACATGACGCCCAATAACACACGACATCTACCTTGACAGTTACGCAAGAACAATCAAACTTCGATTGGTCTCCTTGTTTACGTCAAATCCATTCATATTCTTCGACAGATGGTGCTACTCGTCACCAGACCTTCTCGACAGTCCAATCCTTTGATGTTCTATTTAGTGTCTATATTGAAAAAACTATAACATTGAATCGTGATCATTTATCGATTCTTTTTTGTTTTCGAGACTACTATGATTGGTACAAGTAGTTTTTCGTGTAGAGGTTCGAAACGATTTAACATACTTTTGTACAAGTTTCTGATGTATAAAAAAGATATTTTAGAAAACTAATTCTAAAAGTACATTTTCTAGCATAGAGCTTAGAAATTTCATCTTCGGTAAGAAATGTCTCAAAGCATTAAAACTACAAACTTTTAATTGTTTCGCTTGGATGATGATACCGTTCTTAGTATCTTAGTACATTTTTAAGTCTCATGTTAAGATATCAAGAAAAATTCCATAAGAAGTCTTCTTCTTTGAGAAATATCGAGTGTGTGTGTGGGTATAGGTGTAGGTGTGGGTGTGTAGCTATAACTGTGGCTGTGGATGCGGATGTACATCTTATATTCTGTCACACCCACACCCTCAGCTCATGAGCGTGAGCGGTACAATCCTAATCCACAGTGCATCGTCATGAACAAAATTTTATCTATTGTGATAATTCAGTTATCGTGCACGATGCCGTCATTACTCGAAAGTTTCCACATCTTGCTCTAGCTGAATATGAGTTACAAGTAAAGTAGCTGAGTATCTTGGAAAAGTGCTTCAATCAGACACATTTTACTATATAGTAATCTGTACCAAAGAAACATTGACTGAACTTCATCTATGCAGAAATCAGATTACTGATGAAGAATTTCTTTGTGTTGATCATGCCGTTGGATAACGAGGTGTTCAATATTTGACTTACCATTAAATCAAAATACAGCATTAAGAAATCTTGATGTTCGCTTCAATGAACGCTTTGAATATATTCAAAGTGAACAAACTACCGAATCAAAACACGTAAGGCTAAAGATTCAATAAGTTGCCTACTAGGACTACTAAATGAGATAAGATACCACTTTGGGTGCATTGTGAATTCATAGTCTTTCTGAAAAAAACAGTGACGAATGTAGTCTCATAGTTATTAATTTTTATATAACTCAATTTACCTTGGTTTTGTAACTATTTCGTCCTTTGCTAACTGATATGACGATAAGCTCTTTTTCTGATCGATCATCTACAATCTTCAACTATATTCATTCCAATTCATGCAGTTCTATCCATTCATAGATATAATAACACTATGTTTCTTACATGTGAGTTATCTCGGTCACATTTCCATTTCTTGGAGCACTTTTATTTAGCAAAAATGACATTGAAGAATGGGAGGTCTCGGAAACCATTGTTATTCATATAGATTTAGATACTTCTATCTAATAAATTTTTATCTTTGAGAACTATTCTTATACATAGTAAGCCATGCATCAGTCATAAAAAAGTGCTGAGACTCATCTCTTAGTAGTTGAATACAGGATCGATCTGATTTATTTTTATTTCCTACAGCAAAGTTTGGATAAATGACACAGGTCAACCTAGTTAAAACTTTTACTTTTGCTTTGTTATGATGGAATTTGAAAGCAGAACAAAGTTTAATATAGTGCTGTGACCTGGTTTATCAATATTGCATGCGCTGGCTTCGAGAATTTTCTTATCTCAAGCTTTAGATTAAATTTATCTGTGAATAGAGCTTTTCAATCTCTATGATTCAATCTATGTAGGAATTCGTTTTTGATTGAATGTTCGACAAGAAGTTCTCTTTCACGCTGTTCATTTTGCTGAAATATCATTTTAGTAAAAATGTTTACATGGAAAAAAATACTGAATCAGTAAAGATTATGAAATGTTCTTTAATGAAAATCATTCGAAATTTATATTTTACATACACTGCTTTTAGTTCTATCTAAAGATATATTCTAGTCATGGTGTGAAGATATTGAAGTGACCTCAATTAGTGAATAAAATTTTTTAGGTATCCTAACAGTTTTTTAAAAGTTAATAGGAAGAATACTCTCGCATATCATGTATCGACTATACAAACAACTTTTTGCTTCATGTATATGTTTCAAATGTCCTGTTTTTAAACAAAAGAAAATGTCGAAGTCAATCCGGCATTACATTTGTGAGAAAAATAACAAATAACTATCAACAGAAATGAGACAAGTTCAATCTTTATTTATTAATTTTTTGTAATTATCATCTTTGAGAAGATAATTATGCAGATTATTTCACAATATATAATTTTTATTAACTAATGCTCCTGAATGTCTTCGTTTTTTTTTGATATTGTTGATATTCTAGTATTCACTCTGTTTTTAATAGCTCGATTTGTAACATCAAGTCATGACTGTAACTTTAATATAACGTCATTTCATGTTGCTTGAAGTGTAGTATTGACAAAATGTGGTCTCTACGTATGATAGTTTTTCTGAAATACGAAAAATCAAAGTGTAACAGAATTATGGCAGCATTACAATAACAAGATTGGCAAGAAGGGTTACCATAAATGAGACTGAAAATTATCTTAAAAGTACTTTGATAATCGAAAAAAGAATTTCTTAAAATTGAAAGTTTGGATTGAAAAACAAATAAACCGTCAAGTTACTTCTAATTCATCTTGCTAGTGTTGCAAGGACATACTTTTCATCGAGTATACGCTGCATGTGCGTGACACAGCCTTATATATATATATCTTATCTGTCTGACGCAAACACTACTTCAAAACATGCTTTGGTTGTGTTGAGACGGCACTTTCTTTTTCTCTTTTAAGTCACCGAAAAATTTCATTGCTCTATATTCTTATCATCTATACTTGGAAGTTTAACAATGGGTAGAGTAAATGAGATCTTTGTAATATTTCTGTATATTCAAATTATATTTTGGTGTTGGATACCATCTACAATATCGGTAAAAATCAGTCCTTGCGCAAGATGGAATAGAACAGGTGAAATAGTGGCTGGTCTCGGTGGAAGGGGTAACAGGTGATTCAAAAACGCACGCGATCAGAAGTAGAACAGATTGAGAGCTCCTTTCATTTTTGCATACATGTACATATTATCAAATGTATCCGATTTGTCTTGGAGCAATCCAAGCAAAAACAATATACTATCATTCCTACCTAAAACAACGTACTTGTATTCATCTGTTCATATAATTTTCGTGGTCATTAAAAATGAAGTTATTTGTGAATAAGACTCAACAATCTCGATCAACTTCTTGATCCTGAAGGAATTTTTATTCATAGACAAACCAACACACTATATGTGTCTGACACAGGTAATAACCGTATTCAAGTTTTTACTCTTAATCAGCTATCGAGCATGGGCACCACCGTGATATTTAATGTCACATATCCTACAAAACTCTATGTTGATGATGACAACGATGGACAAACCATTTATGTCACTGTTCGAAACGAAGACCGTATCAAAAAATGGGTTAAAGGAGCATCAGACGGCGTGCAAGTTGGAGGAGAATGTCCGATGTGCGAAAGCGTATGGGTAGATAAAGAGAAAAATGTTTATATGACATCAGTGATGAGACATTGTGTGTATAAGTGGTCACCACTAACAAACGTTACAACGGTCGCCGCTGGTAGAGAAATGGGTCAAGGATCTGGAAGTGATTCTCTCAATTCTCCTGAAGGTATTTATGTCGATAATACCAGTGGTACCGTGTATGTCGCTGATTATGCGAATCATCGCATCCAGAAATGGTTAAAAGATGCTCTTAATGGTACCACTGTGGCTGGATTTAGCACGGGCAATCAAGGCAGTGATGCAGAATCGTTGTCGTATCCGACTGCTGTATGGGTCGATGATGAAACTCAAGTTGTGTACGTGGCAGATTCAGATAATAATCGAATTCAACGTTGGTTACCGAATGCATTCATAGGTGATACTGTTGCTGGTGGAGCAGGTATGGATGTAGAATTTCGACTAGTTTTGCCCGAATTTTCGATCAGACTTTTAGAAAATATAGTTTGTTTTGCATGCTGTCAATTATATCCGTTATAAATGAATCAAACATCAGAATCGAGTGGAAAATAGACTAATATTTTTAACGAAGAAGCAATTTTGAGCTTTCGCTGGGATGAACTGAGAGCAATGGGGAATGACTATAATAATGTATACCCTTTATTCTCATCCATCTTAAAATAATCTTGAGATTCTTTTTTATTCAGTGTTATAGAGAAAAAAAAGTATTTAAATCGTTATCATACTGTAAGAACATTTCATTATAGGTTGGGGTGATAAACCTAATCAATTTGAGCAGCCCGTCGATTTGGCATTTGATAACGATGGCAACCTCTATGTGTGCGACCGCATCAACGATCGTGTTCTCAAGTTTACAATTATTCACAACGAGCCATGTTTTCCAGTACCAACAACTAGTTCAGGTTCTTTATCTTTGATATTTTCAGTATATTTTTATTTATTTTGCAAGTTTATCATAATTAAGTACGTGACAGTTACCGCGAGCAGCAGAGGATCACCAGTTCTTTCCTAGGGTTATCCAATGGAAGTAATCATAAGTCTACAAGGTCTATATGACATGGAGGGGTGTGAAATGTAAGACATTTTTCCAATTACAAACAGGCTCATACCGACAGTTACAGTCATACCCAAATATCCCACACTAAATCTTAGCTTTGTATTAGCCTACAGACGTGAGAATCTATATCTCAACTACTGTATATACTGTCATGATTCCTGAGGAACTTCGATAATTATGAAAAATCGACAATATTCTTCAACTTTTAGTCAAACTTAGATATCATGTTATCACACTTTTATTGTGCATGCTAGAGGAATAATAAAGGTATCTACTTATATAGTCTTAGCGACATCGTCGAAATGCAAATCATGTCCGAGCACAAAGGCTTAAGTATGTTGAGTTTTGGAACAATGTTTGTTTTCTTTTAGCATTTTTTCTGAAATGTATACGGCAAATGTTTGAAAAAAATCAATTTAGCGCGCTACGATTGATGTGAATTCTGGTACTTTCGAAAATTCTTTTTACATTCATCATGTTACTCTAAATAGATCAAGAAAATTTCGAAAAGTATATTCGAAGAGAAAAAAAATTGTTGAGTACTTATATTTCTATACATTTAGCTTCAATTTATGGTTGCTAAGGTTATATAGATAGATGCCTTTATTATTTAGATGTTTTAGGAATGAAATTTTAGTAGCAATTTTTTCCAACGCGGTATCACTTATTCTCCTTATAGAGCTGAAAATTATAACCTTCTAGTCGCGTTCTTTGTAAAACTACTGAATTTACAATGGAACTCATTAATACTTCATTGTAGTATATTGACAACTTCACAATAATATTTCTTTTACTAGTTTCTTTGAACTATTCATTTAGTAAATAGTCCTCTGCACTTCATCCTTGAATGCACTCTAATATTCACTGTCTTCAACTCTTTTAGTCACTAGTCTACCTTCAGTGTTGTCAAAATATTCAAATGCACTAATGCCAAATAGTCCACAGTTTTCTCGGCCCAATGGTAATATCCAAAATTACTATTACTATCAAGCTATTCAAGTTACTGTGGCCATAAGTGGAACTTACTCTTTTGAAAGTGTATCTAGTATCAGTACTATGGGCTATTTATATGACACATCTTTTGATTCATCTAATCCATTGGCAAATATTGTCGTTTCTAGTGATAATGGTAGCGCACAAGGAGTGTTTCGTATCAGCTCTCTCCTTTCATCTGCCCGTACATATATTTTGGTTGTCACCACGTTTCAAGCATCTGTCACGGGAGATTTTTGGATATTAGTCCATGGTCCAGCTTTGGTCGGTCTTACATCAATTACAACACCAATTGGTAAGTTAGTTAAGATTTAGTAGATTTCTAATTTGCACAGTGCTTCATCAGAAAAGCAATTTTTCTTCGTATGTGAAATTACTCTAGGTTTCATTATTGTAACGATGCTAGCTGTGAGAAGACATTCATTTGTAAATAGATTCGAGTCTCCACATTTACATCAGCACAAATTCTCTGATGTTTTTTTAATTGATACCATACAAATTTACGCACAATATGCGTTTCTGATTGACATGCGCAGTTTTTGATTGGTTCTTTCTTCCATCCTCATAATATATCGCCTTGCGACTAGCAGCACGTAGTTCGTTAAAACATATAGCTAGATTGATAGTGCTAATCTTATCCACCATTTATACTTCTTTTTGAATTATTTGAAATAGCACTGGAATCATAGCAGTCCTTGCTTGCCTCACCATATTTGTTAGACTTTATTTTTACTATATTTTCTAAATATTTACTTTTCATTTGTTAAAGTTAATGCAGTTTTGTTGACAACAAAAATTATGCTATTTCTTTGTAATATCTGTTAATGGTCTTTGAGTGAATGCTTTCGAGAATAAAATATACTTTTTTGATAATAGAAGCATAAGCAATTCTTACGAATACTTATAAGCTAAGTATTTGGATGTTTTCTAATCATTTTGAAACTTGAATTCATAGGATGATGATAGTAGTAACATTGTACAGTTTATGATAATTATTACCCTTTAATCTAAATTAACAAATTATTTAGACTCTACGAC